TTCATCTTAATATTGTTTCAGTGTGGAACAGGTATACAAAGCATTTCACTGCACGTTATACCATGTAGAACTGTGTCTGTGACCAATACAGGCCTTGAATCCTTAATATGCACTGCCCCAGCCAAAAAAATATATAAAATAGATAGATAATAGAAATCCTTAATTTCCTGTTATTGTGCTGCTGTGCTTGAAGTGTGCAGCAGCAGCTACAGCGGCCTGGACAGCCAGAGGACGCTGGATTACCTGCTGGTTTCACAGACATGATTGTTCTGGGCAGAGAGGCCTACGGTGGCCCAGAAGTGTCACAACAAAACAAAAGCCACAACACAACACAATAAGGCACAACACAACCAAAAGCCGCAACACAACACAACGGCTGCAACGGAAGTTGGTTTTTTTAACCAGTTATAGTTATACTGTGAAGTGCGCAATGCCACACGAAGTGGGCAGAAGCCGGAGATTAATGGAAGCAACTCGAAAGTAAGTAAAAATACTGATGCAAATAGTGTCCATTAATCTCGGTATGCGCTATTAGTAAACACTATTTACTATCAGTATTTTACTTACTTCTCGAGTTGTTTCCAACACTCTCCGGCTTCTGCCCACTTCGTGTGGTCGCGCACTTCACAGTATAACTTCCAGGTTAGAAAAAAAAACAACAACAACTTCCGTTGCAGCCGTTGTGTTGTGTTGTGGCTTTTGTTTTGTTGTGACACTTCCGGGCCACCGTAGAGGACACCTTTCAGATCACAGAAGAACTTTGTTGACGATAACCACAGCCTTCAGCTGACCTTTACCAACTGGTTTAATTATCCATCATCTGTTCTAACCAGTCTGGCCATACGCTAGCTTTTCTATCGTGATGTTCTGTTCCACTATTATGGGAAATAAAATCTCTTCATATATTCTGAAAATATATCAAACCGTCCTACTTCTGTAAAGTTTCCACACGCAGGAATGCTGCAGCATTTTTGCAATTTGAGTGTGAAGATGGAACTATTTTTTCTGTGACGGTCGGAGTGTGAAGCGTCAGTGACCAGTGTTGCATTAAATCATTTTTGACCTGAACATATTTGACATAATTTAGGATTAGTTTATTGCATTTGTTTGTCATGAACCATGTACAAAAACAGATGCACCAGATTTAGTCAACCAGCTCATGTCCACCGGCAGTCCCGAAGTGGTTTCTCGCATCTTGATGCACACGTGGGCCATCAACAGTTATTCATTAAGACCAGTCATTTACAAACAAGGTTAGCAAGATGTTTCCAGGGTCAGTGAAGAGAACTCACATTCTCCTGAGGGCTGTCAGCAAAAAAAAAAAACAACATTCATTCTACAAATGTTCCTACAACATTGTCATTATTCGAATAAAAGTACGTTAGCATTACACAGAGTAAATCGTATTTCCTCTGGATTTAGTAAGACATCTGTCGCAATAGCAAAATAATTATTGTACAACCTCATATGTATGTGGGCTTTCATTTCACTTTACACCTTTATGTACAAAACTCCTGATTCTCTACAGAGGGGAATATGACAATAGCCCTCCATAAAAAATCTCATTTGTAAATTCTTTTTTTTTTTTTTTTTTACAAAATATAAAACTTACATGGTTGCCCAACAACCAGGTGTCACAGGTCTTTCCAACCAGTACATATTATTCTTTACAATGATCTGCTCAAAAAAGGCAATTTTCTAAGCATTTATAAAACCTCTGGTACATGATAGCGAAGACAAAAGCAAGAATGATGAACATTTTTGATATTCTGAAATGCAAACATCAGTTGACTGTAGGTGGAGATGTGTCAGACCACTTCTCAGAAAACTTAAAACAAACTATTGTAATTTATTCTCTGACAATAAAATACAGATCCCATTTTAACTTAGATGCCACTGTTAAACCGTTATTGCTTTGACATTGTCAGGTGTCCAGGAATGTTTATGAATTCAAGCTCAATTATTTCAATACCACAGACCATACTGATGATTTTGGTCCTTTTATTGCAATACTTAACATTTTAGCTGACTGCTGAGCACAATATTGTTATTATTATTGTTATTACTATAATTATTTTACATTTGTTGTTTAACCCTCTGAACCCCACCAGTGGTTTTAAAAGACATGCTACGTATTTTTAAAAATCACACAATTTATCTGAGCTAGAAAATGTAAAAACAGAAAGAATCACTGGATGTTGAAATTTCCAATGGTCCTTGAAGTAACCATTTCTGACCAGCTGTTTTGTTAAAAATTTAACTGAACCTCACCTTAAAATGAAGATATTTTACCAAAATTACTGCATTTTACATCGCATTTAAAAAAAATAAATAAATAAATTCTTCGTCCCCTGTTGAAGCTGTGAAGTTATTCATGACTCCACTGTCACCAACAGTCGTGTGATTACACAGATCAAAATTAAAAATCTAAGTAGTAAAATATCCACAGTATGAAGAGTCACCATTTATTTTCCAGTATTGGTAACTTCTGTGGGCCCCTGGAAAAATGTTGTACATATTACTTCCTGGATTTTTACATTTTTGTGAGCTAGACAACAACAAAACCTCGACTTGATCTCTTTCTTTCCTACAATTTATGTCATTATTACTTTGTTTTCCTGCACTAAAGACATTTCTTGTTTTTTTTTTTTTACTTCTAGTCATCATTGTTCTGTTTCCATAGAGGTGCAGGAATTTATATTGCAGTGAAAAATGAGCCCAGGGTGAGTTAAAATGTGACGGGAGCAAACACATGTCTAGAAACTGCTTGGAGTTCAGAGGGTTAATTACGGTTAGTTGAAAAGGATTTGATCTGCAGCTCAACTGACAGAAACAAAAACTTCATCTTACATGAAAACTGCACGCAAGTCGGGCTAACGAGGTTTTGACAGCCTTCCCTTTGTTTGTTGGGTTTCATGAATTTCTTTAGGTGTAAACATTCAGTTAACATTTCTTATTTACTCTGACGTATCTGTTTGTTCCTCAGAAAGCAGTTAACACGATGTCAGTATTTTTTGTCTCATCTGAAGGCAGCACAGACGGTCCTGAGCTGGGAGGTTACATTTTTATGACAAGTGGCTTTTCCGCATCTTCCTCAGAGTAAATGTAGTGCCCAAAAGAAACCTGAAACACTAAAAAGCACTGTTGTTCAGGTCTTTACAGGAACCAATCTTGTCGTCTTTGGTTCTGCTCTCTTTCCTGTAAGGCATCAAACCATAAAAAGCTGCTCCAATACGGGTTTAAACAATGCAAGCTGTAGCGTTTCTCACAAACACACACAAGCCACCAGTGGAGTTCATTTACAATGCCGAGCTCTTAAAAGCACCCTGGTTGAAATGTGCAGCATCTGATGGACTTAGTGAGCTGTTAGTCAACAGAATCAGGTTTCAGGTTTCTTTCCAGGTATTTGATGCAGGTGTGAGGGACTCATGTGAGAGCTTTAATAGGTCACAATCACCATAAATATGATGCTTGTAATTATCCATCGAATCCCATTTAAATAAAAAAAGTAAAATGTTACAGTATGATTTTAGATTAATTTCTAAGACCTGATCCCTATCAGGACTTATTCATTGTCATTTGTTAAAGCCAATATGGCATAAGCAAAAATTTAAACATTTACAAAGTCAAGTTTTAAAAATTAGGTCCAGATTTTTATGTGCTGTGCAAAAACAAAACTACAAGATTTACTCAGTAAAACTGCAGCTGACCAACTCAAAACAGTGGCTCTTTTTCAAAACCTTAAGTCGAATGTATTTGACGTTCACAGTCCCTATTGTAATCAAAATCTCGATACACGAACGTGAAAATGCAAATTTTAAGTTGAAAAATTCGAGAATTTCAGGCAAAAAAATTGGATTCACTAAATTAAAATGATGAGAAATGGCGTTCAAATGACACTCAGAGAGAAAAATTTGACCTTTTATCGTGGATTGTTGCTGATGTTTTGCCTTTACTGGCTAAAACTGGTTTCGATACTTGATAGATATATTTAGAATATTTTGGTTTGCAATGTAGAAAAACAGGAAAACCATAATGTCAGACACATATGTTATAATTACACTGCAATGCAAAAACAAAAACTGCAGCAGGTCTTGATAAATGAGAATTGAGCTGAAATAAACACCTCAGTGAAGAATGGAGGACCAAACTGTACGTTATCTTCTGGAAAAAAAAAGAACATTTTGTCAGGCAACAGAATTGTGTTGGTGTGTTTACCCAGAGCATAGATATCATTACATTCAGAGAAATAATCACCAGCTGTTAGTCACATTTCATCACGGTTGTCGCCTATCCAGAGCTTTAGCTGGTGAGAAAGAGCAGCTTGTGTTTGTCTGCGTCCATGAATGTTGCTTTAGTAGTGGTTTAGTTTACACTCGGTGAAGGAGGTGTGACATAAACACCAGCTCCTACAAACTCACACACAGCCCAAAATAAATGTCCACTTTTTAGACATCAAAAAAAAAAAAAAAAATACTCCATGACTTAGAAGCAGAACTAACTCGGTGAGGTTTGTTCTACGCTGTGGATTTAGCTGTTCAAATGCATTTCTGGTGCGTCACTGCTACCAAGTGGAAACTGTCTCGACTGGGAGGAGAGCAGCGACGCATTGATTTTACACAGTGTTTCATAACTTTCACTCAAAAAGACAAAGTTTTAAGTCAGTGTCATAATTTCGACTTCATGTCTTACAGTTTTTAACATTTCTAACTGTTTGTCTGTTTGTTTTTTCTCTCTTGGGGGACACAAGCCTCAGGCCAAAGCTTAGAATCAGTCAGTTCCAATAAAAACATACACAAAAAAACCTGTTTTGGATTCAGTCCTCAGAAAAGCACAAATAGAACACCACACCGCGTCTAGATTCCTGAACATTTAAACAGAATTTTGCAGGTTTTTCCAGGCTGTTGTGACAGGCTACATAGCGGTCATGTGACATGAATGCAGAGATGTGATTGGCTCCTGAGCAAACTGTCCCACAGCAGAGAACAGTTATTACAGGGTCGCTGGTGCATAATGCTCTGTGTGTGTACGAATGGACGTTTTAGTAAAATCTCATTATAAAGCACTGCTTGGCTCTGCTCTGTTCAGTTTGTTTGCATAATAGAGTGTGTGTGAGAGTGTGTGTGTGTGTGTGTGTGTGTGTGTGTGTGTGTGTTGGGCACACCGGTCCAGTTATTGATGAAGTGCACTTCCTTTAAAAACAGTTTGTAAAAATGGATGAAAAACTCCAAACTGTGTCTCGTCGTCCTGCAGCGGCCCACCGACAAGTTAAAAAATCTAAAAGGTTAAGAGGTAAAAATACTGAGGGCCAAAGATCAGCAGCCATCTTAGTGTCTTTTGTTTTGTTTTTTTTTTACCTTTTCTTTTTTTTTTTTTTGTTAGCACTCAGGTCACCGTGGGCTCCACAAACGTCTCTGTGGTGAAAAACATCCTCGCAATTTTTAAATGCCGTTTCAGAAGAGTTTATGTCAGGCAGCTCTGATCTGGTCCGGCTAGTGGTTTCAGAACTCCCACTGAGCCGCCACAGTGCAGGAAGAATCAGATATGACTGAAGCTGGATGTAGATTTCTGTGTGCTTTCAATGTCCCGCCCAGTCCGAGTCAAACAGGGAACCTTTCTCTGGCCGACTTCAGCTCCTCCTGGCGTTAGCGCTGTAGAGCGAGGGGCCGCGGGTCAGGGTGTGGAGGGCTTGTGAAGGATGCCCTGCAGGTCCTCGGGTAAGGTCAGGATGACAGCCTCGATGTGGGCTCTCAGTTTGCTGAGGGTCCCAGGACGCACCGGCAGCTGCTCCCGCTCAGCCTGGCTCTGCAGCAGAGAGCAACAGGAAGCACAACATTCATCAGTGTCCAATTCTTTATTCATACAAAAAGTCCTCATCTTATTTCACTTCAAGTAGCAGCAACAGGAGTGGTTCTTTACATGTTTATCCTATACACCCTCCCTAGTTGTGCTCCCTCAGCACAACGGTGAAGCGATTACTCACCCAGCCCACAGTGAGTGGAAATGTGACAGGAGCAAAAAATCCCCAGAAAGTGGTGAGGGTTCACAGGACCACATTATGCACATATACAGGTTTAGAATTGTACTTTCAAGATCTTTTAGAATATGTTTATATGCTGTAATGTTAATATATATATATATATATACATATAACCTCCTACAGTGTACAATGTTGCACAGATTGTACTTTACTAATGCCACACTGGTCAGAATCGATCCTGATAGGACGGATATTTGCAATAGATGCAGACGGTCACCTGCTGACTTTGGCCATGCCCGCAACTGTCTGGATTTTGGACTTCCATCTTAGAATCAATTAGCAAGGTAGTGTGTCAAACCCCTTCCTACCTCCCTCTGAGTCCCTAAGTTCACTCAGGATATTACTGCACTCACCACCCTACTTGCTCGAAGACTAGTTATTCTAAAATGGTCTCACTCTGCCCCACCTCCTCATAATAAGTGGACTCAGGAAGTATTGCGACGTGTTACTCTAGAAAAGATTAGGTTCTCCTTCAAAGGTTCGTTAGACACCTTTGACAAGACATGGCAGCCCTTTTTAACGGACACTGACTCATTGACTGGTGTTGCAGAAAGTGACTGAGCCTTCTCACATCGCTGCTGCAGCTGTTCTCACTCTCTGTCTGAAATGCTTCAGCACTTCCTGAAAGGCCCATTCTGCTCTGATTGGTCAGCTAGTCTGACAAAAGCAAGGTGGCAACACTGGTTACATAACACAACTCCAGATCTCTAAATATCAGGATGTAGCTCCAGCAGAAGCTACTCTACTGGACCGGGGGCAAGCTGCTCGTTCTTTCTTTGAAGGCCGAACTAGTGACAGGGTGACGCGGACAAATCACAGAAGAAAAGCCTGAACTTTAAAAGAGGCAGGTTTCAGGCAGGAACAAGGTTTTCTGTAGGTGCTAGTAGCAGGAGCAGCATTCATATCAGCAGTAGCATTATGTGTGGAGCTCAGATCAGCCTGGACGTACTGACCAGTTTATCCTTCAGCTTCAGAACCAGATCAACCGTCTCCACCTCTGTGTGCTTCTGGATTCTCTGCTGCAGATCCTGTAGAGAAAGACAGGAGAGTCTCAGGCTGCTGTGTCCGATTTAACTTCTTCATCAAACCCTCAATTCCCTATGAACACACTTTTTATTAGTTCTTACAGAGCTTGCAGCAAATAAGACGTTTCATTCCGTTATGTTTTCTGGCTTCTCCTTCAGCAAACGCTCATTACTCCACAGCCATGTTAAATAAGTGGAAATACAGAAATAAGACACTTAAAAATCTAAATCTACAGTGGATTTAAGTTCTGACCCTTTGCATCATAAGCACCAGAAACTTTGTGTCACAAAGCACAGATGGTAACTAAGCTGTGTTTTTCAGATGTACAACTGCGTCACTCACTCACAACGTGGCTAACTACGACCAACACAGTACAGACCTCACCGACATTAAAAGCTGGAAACCCAAGTTCAGCGTCAGACCCAGCACTTATACTAATACTCCTCCAGTGTCGCTGATGAAACTACTAGTTGCTACCTCGGATTTATGTGACCCACACCCACTTCCTCCTCCTCCTCACCTCCTCACACAGCGCCTCCAGGTGCAGGGCCTCTAGTTTCTGTGTCATCTCTCTCCTCCTGTTGCGGAACCAGCCGTCAAAGTTGGGAGACTTGAGGAAATGCCTTCAAATACAAAGAAGCATACATGATGCTCAGGAAATGTTTGGTTTTTTTTAACAACACTGTTTACATAACTACTTTCTTTCATTCTGCGATACAAGCAAACTACTCATACTAAAGGGCAAAAGAAATCGGGAGGACTCTTACTAAATTGTGATTGCATCAATTTGTAGTACAACCTGTTTCTAATGCCTGTACCTGTAGAGTCCAATCCAGTCTCCTTTCAGTCTGGATGTGAGCTGAGGTCCAGCTTTCTCCAGCGTCTTCATGAAGTCTTGCTGGATGAACGGTCGTAGCTGAGGAGGACTCTTCCAGGGACTGATGGACTTCTGCAGAGGCATCAGACTGGCCACGTACCGCTCCTGCAACACACACAGGTCAACCCTTGCAGCCGGAATCATCCAGCAGCAGCAGCAGCAGCAGCAGCAGCAGCAGCAGCAGCAGCAGTAGCACCACTGAGGAGCTGGAGGTTTGGGACGCTCCAGAAAGAGAATGTCAGACGTTTATCGAGTGAGTCACACTCCACCAAAAATACATCAGTCCGAACTCAAAGGTTTTAGCTTTAGAAACACAGAATTAATAAGTCAAGTTATACTTTCTTCTATTGCATATTAAAAGCAACAAATGTTGAACAAAAGTGCTTTCCAGTAAAGAAATAACACTGAAATAACCAGTTTACCGAGCAAGGAGAAAAATGAAGGTTAAGACCCTACAATAATATATGAAATACAAATTGACCTGACAACATGAAATATTAAGATTAGGACCCGACACTTTCCTGGCTAATTTAAATATAATGCCGCCACGGTGATGGCAGCACGCATAGACGCAGTGACCACTTCAGGAGACAACGAAAGTGAATGTTTTGAGTGTCTTGTCTATCTCAGACGTTCATTCCGCAAAACTTGCAGGGGGGAGACTTTGCTGTGCATCAGGACAGTGAACGGTGCTGGAATTGCAGCCATCGGTTGTGATGTGGACATACTACACCAACACGGAGTCCAATGGGAGACTACGCTGGCAGTTACCCGAGAGAGAAGGAAGCACAAACGGAATGAATGTAAACAAAGGAGGATGAAGGGGCCGATATCCATGCTAGGCTAAAGGCTAACCCATCCAGACCAGCAGGACCGTCCTCCTACTCTCCAATGTCCGCTCCTCCACAACAAGCTGGACGAGCTACGTTTGCTGAGAGAAACCTGCAGAGAGTGGAGGGACTGCTGTGTGTTTGCTTTAACAGAAACATGGCTCCATGACAACATCCCAGACGGACAGACAGCTGGAGGAGACGACATTGTTCCAGGCAGACAGACAGGCAGCTAGCTCTGGGCAGCATCTGCGGCTTCACCATCATCACACCATCGTTTGTGTCTTTGTGTCTTTGAAGACCTACCAGGACCTGAAGAGGTCCGCCATGTTTAACAAATGGCGGCGCGCATGGATGCAGCGCCCCCTTCAGGAGGCAGCGACAGTGAACGTTTAGTGTCTTATCCCAGATGTGCCTTCAGCAATACTTGTTGGTTGAATAATCCTGAAGAAACGCTCCCTCATCTTGCCTGTACTACTGTGTATGTACAGCAAAATAACAATAAACCTGATTTGATTTGATTTTTTATAAAGTTCAAGACCCTAAAACATTATATAATATACAAATTCACCTGGCCAATTTAAATACTTTTACCTAAGATTTAGACCCTACATTATTATTTATAACACACATTTACCTGACTAAGTTAAACATTAAGATTAAAACCCTACAATATTATTTATTGTATACATTTACTGAACTAATTTAAATAGTAAGATTCTACAATGTTCTATAAAATATAAATTTACCTTAACAATTTAAACACTGACACCCTACAACAGTGCAAATTCACCTGAACAATGTAAATATTAAAATTAAGAACCTGCAATAGTAAACATTAGATGAAACATTATAGGATTCTTGCGAGCTGCTATCGTCCACATAAAGCTACGAAATGAAATGACTTGTTACCAGTGGAATGATGAAGCTCTGTGTCAGTTCTAAGAAGTAGCGTCGGAGAATTGCATTCTGTGCCGCGGAGGGTCTCTTCTGTTGAACACCCTGGAAGACAAACACAAATAAACACATGAGTGACATTACATGTAGTGATGCTACTTCTCCAGTCGACAACGGTTAGTCCATGTCATTTTATAAAATTGTGTTGTTGCTAAGTTCTGTTGGAAGTCGCAACAGAATCGTTTCTATATTTTCAGGAAGTTAACTTCAGCTTTGGAGGCCAGTGTAGCTCGTGTTGTTGATGTGCAGGACATCAGATAGAGTCCAAATCTCACCTTCTGAAGCTGTTTGATGATTTCTTCATCTTTGTTCAAATACGGCTTGTATGCAGTGTACACACCTACAACACACACAGATGAGACATGACAAGCTCTGCCTGCTAACAAACAGCTCCCCCTAGTGGACAATCTATAGTCTTACAATTATCAATGTAAACCTACATTTCACCATAGTTCTTTAAAAAAAAGAAAATTGTAGAGAATATGAAATATTTACCAGGTTTAGAGTCCAGAGTTTTGAGGTTCTTCAGTTTCTTGACTTTCATTTGCTTGGCCATCTCTCCTGAGAGGAACAGATGCAGAGCAGAGATCAGACTGATAGTCCAGGGTTTTTCCCATCTCAAATTATCAGGAGCCTTCTGCTCAGCAATCTCTGGTTTTCTTGATTATATTTTTTCATCATAATCTATGGATATGTAAAATGGTACCTGAGAAGTAACGATGGAATTTCAGGCTTTTATCTTAAATAGTTCCTGAGATATTGTCATTCAAACAAAGCCTCAAATGTATACGTGTGAAAAAATGTGCTGAAAGTGCAGTGAAGGGGGAATTAAAGAAAAGAAAAAGATCTCTGTAAGTATTTGATATTGTAAGCTAAAATTTCTCAAAAATCTTAATAGATGTCCATATTTGACAGTATAAAAAATAAATAAAGTAGGCAAATCAGAGATAGTAGAGCAGAAATATTTGTAAAAAACACATATGATTTGAGCTGGAATAATTCTAAGTAGATTGTTAAAACTATTACTGCACACTGGAGCATCAGGATTCCACCCCTGGAACAAACCACTAAACATCAGACCCAGACCAGAGCAGCATTTAGAATGTGATGCACACTAACGTTTTTGGCCAGAGAGTCTTATAGTCGACTCCACTACATTACAAGAACATGACATTTGCTTTCTTTATTATTTATTTCGTATTTTAACATCTACCTGCTTGCTTCATGTCTCCGATGCGGATGATGTGCGGCCAGTGCTGCAGCGTTTTCGCAAAGAAGGGATTAGTCACTCCCAGAATGACGGACGGCCTGCATCGAGAGAGAGGAAGAGAAAAGAGAAACGCTTAGTTTTCTATGCACAATTACAAAAAAATGAAGCCCGAGTGTCCTTAAGCAGGACATTTAACACTCTGAAGAATATTCAGCTTCCTTTTAGCAGAATCTGGTAACAGAACATTTTTTTAAATGTGACATCCATCCATCCATCATCTATACACCGCTTAATCCTCACCAGGGTCATGGGGGGCTGGAGTCTATCCCAGCTGACTTAGGGTGAAGACAGGGGACACCTGAACAGGTCACCAGTCTATCACAGGGCTACACTTAGAGACAGACAACCAAGCACACTCACATTCACACCTACGGACGATTTAGAATCACCAATTAAGCTCAACATGTTTTTGGACTGTGTGGGAGGAAGTTGGAGAACCCGGAGAGAACCCACGCTGCACGGGGAGAACATGTAAACTTCACCAGGACGCGAATGTGTGACTTTCTTGCTGCGAGGCAACAATGCTAACCACCGAGAATAAAATGAATTTGAACCCCGCTGGCTGGGTTTGGGGTTTAGAGGGTTGAGTGCTACCGCTGCAGATCAATTTACAGTGACGTTTCTGAAAGGTGACTGGTGGATATTTTCAACATTGTGAACCTTTATTCAGAAAGTAAAAGTTGCAAGAATGTGTTCAGAGGAACTGAGTTATAGACAACACAAGGGATAATTCAGTTTAATTTTCTAAGTTTCCCTTAGATTGTCTTTGTTGTTTTGTTATAACCTACCACTGTGTTTTTTATGACCTTTGTCAGATGAGCAGTGTTCATGATAACTTAAAGTAAGCGCTAAATTTACTTTTAATTTAATTCACAAAGTGGTATAATGTGACCAGAATATACAGATGTCATATCCTACATATTTATTTTTTTATTCAACACACAAGTTCAGTAAAGTATAAAACAGTCATGGCGCACAAAAGAGTACTATATAAATAAGAGGGACATGTATTGTGATTGCTCCCAGCAGGGTTTGTATATTTAAGCCGTGTGTCGCCTCTTTTATGTCACGGGTGCAGAAAAGACTTCGTCTAGAATCCTCCTGTGCGTCCTCACTCATACCTCCTCCAGCAGCCTCCTCCATCCTCAATCCTTGAGACGCAATTTAGGAATTGAGATTTGCGATTGACTGATTTCTGGGCAGGAGGATGAAGGACAAAGTAGCCGAGGAGGCTGACACGTGTGAAATGAGATGAGCCTACGATTCTTCCCTGTGCTGCCTTTGTTAGTTTCCTAAGTGTTTGAATTTTCTCCTCTATTCCTTTCCTGCCTGGGTAGAAACAAGCACATTTTCTTCCCCCCTTCTGCTACAAACCAACTTCTTGAGGAACATCTTTAGCGCTGCTGTATTAGCCGATGTGTTGTTACTTACGGCGCCTGTGTCCTGGTGGTGTACTCCTTAAACTCGCTGTCGTGGATGGTGAAGTACGGCCGGAAGTCACTGCAGTAACGCAGAGGAGAAATACAGCTGCAGAGACAGAAACAACACAGTTATCTTAGTGACTGAGGTCTTAATTGTTTCCTTTGTGCAGAGTTCAACACTGAAGGAAATAATACATACAATAAAAAACCCATTTAACTACATTTAGGAAATGCAAAAATGTCTATTTCTAGATATTATACGTTCAGTTTTCCAGGAAGCGAAGACAGAAATTCTGAATACACATTGAGTTGTAACAAATTTAACGACAGATTTACTGTCAAAAGTCAAAGTCACCTCACCTGACCAGTGCCAGCACGGTGTCCGACGACTCTGCTGGCGATGGCGCCATGACAACGAGCGCCTCCCCTAGCAACACCAACTCCCACAGCATCTGGATGTGGAAGAAGACCGGGTAGAAACACCTGGACGGGAAGAAAAGGTATTGGGGTGTAAGTTGAACATGCATCTAGATTGACTTTCCCACTAAAAGGATTATTGTGACGCTGATTCCTTCGTTCAACCTTGATTTATACTCAAGAGATGACGGAGGAGCAACTCTCTTTTATACAGACATAACGTGAAATTACTAAGAGAAAAAAAGAAAGACAGAATAGAAGCACAGAAAAGTTGGTCAAGTTTCTTGTGTACAGAAGATGTTTTGTTAGATAAAATAATTAGAATGCAAATTTAAATCCATGAGACTCTCTAAAATGTGCATATCAAGATAAAAATCCATTGATACATAATGAAATGCAAAATAAAATAAAATACAAGTATGTAAAACAATTGAGCGCTTTGGCGATTTAAAATCAAATTCCAAAAGTGTAGTAATCTATGGTAGGTGTTGATAATGCGGTGAAGCCAGTTTGTAAATGTGCGGAGACACTTTACCTCCAGAGTCCTTCAGTTTATTTCCACATCTCCAACATTTAAACCTTCTACTATACTGTTGCATTCTGAGAAATGTTTTGCTTTAATTTAAAGAAAGAGAATCAACACAGAAGCAACTTTTAATGTTTAGTTAAGATTTCAGTGTTTAGTTTAGCTCAAATAAAAGTGATACAGATATATTTTTTGTTTTGCTGCATATCTTTTTTTGGCTGCAGGGCATCTCTAGGCATTACAGATTGATGACAGAGAGCATTTATAACTATTTAACTATGGATGGATGGATGGATGGATGGATGGATGGATGGATGGATGGATGGATGGATGGATTTCACATTCGATTTTATAAAAGGGAAAACTGCTGTAAGAGCTGCAGGTGAAAGCACATACTTCAGACACGATGTTCATGGAGGCTGATTAAGGTACTGTTCTGTTTCATTTGTCTTTTTCAACTAGGGAACTTTTGCTAAGTATCTAATTTTTAATAGTAATAATGTTGCTGCTATTCGGTTGTGCACCTGTTGTAGCAAAATTACAATAAAGTTCCCTCACTAAAAGACAAAATAAATACACAAACATACACATAGGCAGTAGGAGGTCTTTTTTTTCATTTTTGTTGGCCTGAATTTATGTAAACTGACATGTGGTGACAGTGCCACGACAAAGACAGTAACACCAACCTTTTGATAAGGACATGACTAGTCGTGATGCTCACACCTGTCCCGTGGGTGGCTTCGGCGAGTCATTGTAAGTGAGTTGTCAGACTTTAGAAACTTCTGTTTGATGATGTAACTGTTTGAAAATCCTTTGTTTTGTGTTGCTCACTGCCAGCTTTTATGATCTTTGTGTATTTTTCATTCATTTTTATCGATGTTATTGCGTTGTCTTTTTCTTTCCATTTGTTTGGAATAGTGCTATGATAATTACGTTTATTATCATCATATCATCATATTATCTTCTGCTTCCTCCTCTTTCCTTTTATTGTTGGAGGGTTTTCTAATAGTTCAAATGCAGCGCTGTCTCTCCCGCCCTTGCATCCCAGCGTCACTGGAAGGAGCAAAGATGAGACTCGAGGATTGATGTCAGCACACTGAAAAGCATCTCAGGTGTGGGCAGATAAAACTCTACCAATAAAAGGTCCCACATTGTGCCCTATTCAGCTAATTATTCTCACACGTGCTCACAACGTGTCTTTCAGTTTTTCAGTTGAAAACATTGTAAAGATGGTTGATTTCACCATGACTGTATAACTCCTCCTTTTAGTCCTGTTCTAAATGTTGTGTTTTGCTCTGAAATCCAATGAGCTGTTATCGCCACCTTCAGGAAGAATGGCTGTTTTCGTATATAGTTAGTTGAAAGGTAGGACCTGGGTCGAATCCTTATGAACAGTCCTAAACAGCTGGAAGAAACACACTTCAGCTCCTCTTAACATTGAGTGATGGCTCATTTCACACTTGTATTGTGTTGAAAGTTACATGGAAACCTTACTAGGTCCGACCTCGTAAGACTGTCACTTTTACAGATAAGCAACCACAGTGAAGATTCACACATGCAGCCGAGCTGTTTAGTAGCCGTCAGATGAACTGAACAGACTGCGTGTCTGAAGGGTTAAATGTGACACAAGCAAGAAGGAAAACACTGATCTCACCTGAAGAGGTCGACTTCATGGATGGTGGGGAGGACGATGGACACCAGACTGTCACTCTGAAGGACACACACAAGTTGGTCAAGGCATTTTTTTTACACAAAACTGAAAACTAACTACTGAAAAAAAAAAAAGGTCTGTCAGTGATCACCTGGGCGGACTGCACCAGCTGTGACGTTCCTGGTTTGTCGTAACAGGTCGGGATGCGAACCTGCAGCACAAAATTCCAACACCATCAGAAAACAACTATTTCTTTTGTGTCCATCTACACGAAAGAATACTGGTGTTCCTCTGTGGTCGTCGATTAAACCCGTAAACACAATAAGCGTAATAAAACAGTGAAAGAATAAGATAATAGAGAGGAAAACGAACGTAACTGAAGAAGAAGAAGAAGAGACGAATATGTCTTTCCCTCAGTAAACACAGGACAGCATCCTAGTGACACACTTCTATTACTACTGGACATATTCTCAGACTCTTTCAGAGGAACCGTTATTAAGACTTTAAGACCTTCAGACACAGCGGCCAAGTCACGTACATGCATCAAATAAAACACTTGTGTTGAACTTCAGTGTCAGAGAGTCTGAGGTGTAACTCAGAAGAAAACTATATACGCAATATACTTTTCTCACGGAGGACACACTGTCAACCACTGTTTACATTAATATTAGCTACATCCTGTTTCAGTGTTCCAGCTGTAGCTGTTGTTGGAAACAGTATTTTGGTTACACGTGTTCCTTAGCTGCTGTGGGAACCCAGAATGAGATGTCAGCTGGTCTTTACAGTGTGTGTGTGTGTCTGTGTGTGTGTGCATGTGTGTGTGTGTGTGTGTGTGTGTACCTTGATGACCACACCCATGATAGGCAGCGTGAGGATTCGTCCAGGGTGAGGCGTCGGCCAGCGGTCGATGTCATTACAAGCTGTCAATCAAACCCAATCAACAGTCTGAATCAGAAACCACTCTATCTGCACTCAGCTGCCCACTCATTAGGTCCACCTAAGTCACAACAACGTAATCTAATAAAAAAGCCCTCCAATGAAACCAGGCTTTATTGAGCTGTAATGTTTATTTAACAAAGTCGGCTTTTGTTTAAACTGCTTCAGTCAGGTTATGAGTGAGAAGGGTCCAGTATATACATCAACGGTAGTTACACAATAGTTTACAGAAAACAAAAGACAAGGACAAGATGACGCAAGTGTGATGAAACACAGAACAGCAGTACATCCCAGCAACACACTGTCCAGGTTTTAAAGGGAAAGTAGGTCCAGTAACAGCTATTTACATTAAAATCTGAGGTTTAGTCAAACAGATCAGGGATGTTAACTCTGGAAAGAATGTTCGTGAAGTCCGGCTCAGACCGATTTTAAAACGGGTCGCATCACATGAATACAGAAAAACTTAATAGATAGTCTAAAAATAATGGCACATCACACACTGGAGGGCATTATTAAGGTTATCATGCCAGAGGCACAAATCAAGGAGCAGTGCACCACCTCACATTAACTCATGAGGAAGTAGATACAAACAAAATGGAGGTTGTGGTGCAACAAGTTTCCATTAATACTTTACAGTGAGAAAAAAAAAAGCAGAAGGATAAATGAGTCTGGATAAGAAAATGGGGAGAACTGCAGGTGAGATTTTATCAGTAATAATGTGTGTATAGCTAGCTAATGTTAGCCTCAAACGCTAGAATGTTTAGCACTGCTTGACAACAGCGTCCGATGCTCCAAGTGCTTGACATTATTATGGCGGCCCTGATGAGCCTGCAAACAGTTCTGAAGATTTCCAACTGGATCTATAACACCTTAGATTACCAAACAATGTGGGCCAAATATCGGTCCAGACTGATACTGGGAGGACTGAAACAGGGTAAATGGACCAAAAACTCCTGTATTGTGACAAATTTGTTTTACCATTTTGGGTTATTTAATATACACTGAGGGGCAAAAATGGCAGGTTAATTAATTTAAATGAATAAAAACACAATAAAGTGTGCATTGAAAGAAAAAAAAAACTGCAAAAAAACTATTTGCATTGAAAGAAAAAAACTTTTTTGTAATTTTGGGTGAAGCAAACTTAAAAGATGCACACTAATTTGGTTTCTCTGAGACTCTGTGAAAGGCTGTTCAAGACAATGAATGTTACTTACTCCTTCTAAACACTAAGAGCGCTGAGTGTTTGATGCTTGATGTGTAAGAAAATGTAATTCTGAATTCATGATATAAAATCAGCAGTGAAACACTCAAGGTAGTATGAGGTGTGACGTCAGGCTTGTATGTCTGAGACCTCTGGACCATGTGGAGCCTAAACATCATTAAATACATCACTTTTTAAGTCTTGGTAGCTACACAGAGAAAAACAGGTAAAGACAGAGAATCAGACTGACCGGCCTCCAGGCAGGGCTCCTGTTTCTCAAAGTATTCTGGAGCCATGATCTTCAACAGTGAGTGGAAGAAGGTCACATAGGGCAGCTTACTGATCAGGACCAGAGACTGGCAGAAAGACACAGCAAGAGGGAGACAGAAATGTATATTCAGACACTTTCTATCCATTCATCTGTTTTTGTAGTGTCGTAATTAATCATTTCGTTTATAAGCTGTCAAAACAGCTAAAAATGTTCCTGGTTTTGTCCAGTTAACAGATCACAGTGGACAGATAGTCAGGTTGCTATGATATAAAATGAAGAAAATTAGCAAAATGTCCCAAACTTAGAGGTGAAACAAAGAACATTTGGTGTTTTTACTTAATAATAATAATTATAGTAGGGAGAACCAACTGTTGTCTTTATGAACAGTTTAATGTACCAACAGTCACGTCAAAAATACCTCTCATATTTAGTAACTATTTCCTCACACCTACATTTCAGGATTACTGTTAAACTCGTGCAAATGAAACTCAATACTTCTTGCACAGATATAGAGGGTGTGTTCCAGGGAACCTTATCTTAAAAACAAGATGTGCAGTTGTCAGCAGTGAAAGACAAACCTTTTTTTTTTTATCCCATTTGATCCTATGTTTTTGTCAGTCGAGAAAGTCACAGTTTGTGGTACAGATAGTAAAGTCCTGGTTCTTTCTGTATGAAACTGTTTAGAGGACTACATCTCTCGTCTTGAACAATAGACATCACCATCTGAATTTGACTATCCGAAATGAAAACTACAAATATCCCTTCCATCAGTGTTACTAGTTGTGTTTACACCATGTCAGAATTTTTACTCCAGATGTCAAACATCATTGTACTAGTTGTTGAAATGACAGTTAAAGATATCTGACATTCAGTTTTGACTAGTCAAATGAATAGTTGCAGGTATCTCAAATGTCATGATGACTAGTTTGAACTGCTGTGCATGACGCTACTCATTTCAGATGTCCAGGAAGGCTTTTCACCAGTGTTAGCAGAAGTAATGGCCGTTGCTGTGGTGGACAATATTGTTAGGAGATGCTGTGAAATTAAAGAAACTATTAGTAAGGAGTTTGTGGAAAACCAGAGCTTCACTCATTAGAGACTTGTGGTTAAAATTTACTGCAATTTCGGTCTCAGACTGGTCCGTCACATGCACTTAAGGTTGCAGTGCTATAGTGTATTTGAAAAGTAAGCTGCCTCCACCTTGTGCTCGCCACAGCTTCTGACGTAACTGATTTAATATCTTCATTTTGAATCTAACATCTAATTTAAGATATCTGTAATCACATTTTGACTAGGGATCTCCACTTTAACATATCTCCAACATAATTCTTTAGAATTACAGATATTGTATCTTAAACCTGAACAACAGCGAGTCAGAATTACACTGTAATTGTAAAAAAAAGAAAAGTGGAATTATAATTGCTCGTAATTCAAATGCAGGTATCTACAAATCTCTTGGCAGAGATCTACAGTTAATTTGCCATATTTCACCTTGTTTTGCCAGAACGCAGGAGAAAGTAATGAAAGAGATGGAAATCACTACAAGTCTGTCCGTGCTGAGACCTACTGAGATGTGAATGCAGCAAAATTCTTCTTCTATCTCAATCTTAGTGCCTCTAGTAGCTCGACAGAGAAAGCTGTGATGAGGTCTCTCTAATTTCCTTTTTGCAGTCTGGTAATTCAACACTTTTAAGGCAAACTGTGACTTTCTTGCAAAATGATCTTTTAAATATAAAAACATCATATTTGTAATTCGTGCACATAAGTCAAACAGGATCACCATGATTCGTACCTCACTGTTGACAACTGCACATACTTCCCACGGACCACACTGGAAGGGGCAGGACTCTTTAATCCACCAAAAAAAATTCTTCCAGCAGCTCAATGTGTAAATCTCACCTTCTCCCAGTGGGTGTTAATGTGAAAAACCAGAAGGGATTTTTTCATTAAAGGCGGCTTAACAGTGATTTTTTAAAAAGCCTATAAATAGAAGCAAGTGTAACTAATTAGTGTTAAGAACCAGAGCTGTGGATATGATAGAATTAGTGCAATGGAAATACATTTAATATGAAGCAGATATTTCAGTAAACGTGTCAGCACAAACTGCTCAGCATAAACAAATGGATTTAAGATGATGCACAGTCCTCCTGCAGTTTGATACTGACCTTCTGAAAGTATCCTCTCTTCAGAGATTTGTCTCGCACTTGACGGAAGTACACGTAACCGTAGTAATGACCCTGTTCCCTCTGCAACACAGTCACACACACACAACCACTGGATTATTACATATTACTGATGTAGACGTATACACTACTGCACACCAACGGGCCAAAACATTACAGCTTCTCACAAATGCGTTGTGCAGTTCTTTTTATTGATCTTTCAAAAGCATTTGAGTTTACATTTGATGACATTAGATTAAATTAAATGAGATCTACCTCGCTGACAGGCAGCAGTGTGTGACTATCAGAAATGGTAAATGAGAATTTGTGAAACTGTTTCTGTTTACTCTGTTCAAAGATGACACTGTCTCTTATATCTGACTGTAAAATGCATCTTTTTCGCTGATGACACAATACTGTCCTGTAGTGCATTCTGCTGTAAAAGCCTTTTAGCACCAGTTACAAGCTACAGTCAATTGGCATAAACCAGGTCTCAATGCAGAAAAAAAACCCAAACAAATACATAATTTTCACAAGAAACATCCTTTTTTAACATCTGGTCGTATCGACTCTGAATAGAACAAATGAAGTACAGATATTTAGGAATTTGGATCAATGACAAGCTATCTTTTAAAGATCATGTGTCCAAAGATGGTTAAAACTACGTCAAAAAAACATGCCTCTGTTGCAGGAATGAAAAATGTTTCTCCACTGTATTGTAGAAAGATTGGAGGCAACTTTACTAACAGTACAGGATAATGGTGACATTTATTTATACAGGCATCAATCTGCATTAGCTTTATTACTGGTAATAATTATGACCTTCATCACTGAGAGCTGAATGCTGAGGTTGGGTGGCCCTTCCTCTCTGTAAAGTGTGACAGACACTGAGTTCTATTCATTTAATAGATTCTTACTGGGGTTTTTTTACCCCCTCACATTACCTCACTGCTGTCTTTGAAGTGAGCCCTTACTATACACGCTAAAACAATGCATTACACTGCAGATGTTGGCTGTTTTTACTGAGCTTGGAAAATGTCGTTTCAACCACTTTGCTCCTGGAATAACCTGCAGAATAATCAAAAGTTTTTTATTTTTTATTTTTGTATCCTCAGGACAATTCAGGGTTTCAAGGGCATCTTATTTTACTTCCAGCTGTTATTGTTTTATTAATCTAATAGTTTTTTAAATGCTTTAATCATTTTTTTTCACTTGCATTCCCTTTAAATATTTTCCTGGTGATTGTTTCCAAGTTTCTTATTTGCGCTCATTTATTTTCTTGCTAAATAAGGCCTCCATACGTCAGCGTACTCAGAGTTTAAATAAAGCTTGAATGAATGAATGAGATGAAGGAACGATGTTGTTAATCTCTTGCTAAAACTTCTCCAGAGCTGTGTGTTTGTGTGTGTTTGTGTGTGTTTGCGTGCCGACCTTCAGGCAGGGCGGTGCGTCTCGGTCGGTAGTTTCCAGGAAGCTGCCGAGTGACGACTTTTTGTTGGAACCCTGACGGAAGCGGAAGCAGAACTGTGTGTCGCCAAGGCAACCTAGAAACACAGCAGAGTGATGATGAGTGGTTATCGTACAACTATTAACCAACTAGACAAGTACTGCACCAGCTGGTTTCAGTTTACAGAATACTAATGCTCAAGGACATGGTAGAAATTACTGGAGCCATTTGGAATAGCATGAAAGCTGCATTTTCTCATATATTTACACACATTTCATTGAAATTTTTGACAACATGATGTGTTGTCAGTATTCACAGCTACACGTCTGTAAACTCCAGCTGCTGCCGTGACTCCACACGCCAACAAGCAAAACTCAAGTCCAGCTCGATGTTGTCCAACTCTGGTTAAAAGTGTAGCTCCACAAAATGAGTTTTTACCAGATGAATTCCAAATATTCAAGCTATGGGAAACTTAAAGTTTTGTCCAAATGCATTTTCTGTTATTTCAAAGCGCAGCAGTCAGCCCTTGTATGTCGTCCTCCTGATTCTTGGACAAACAGGAAGAGGAAAGAGGAAAAATAACGAAATGGGAAGCACACAGTGAGTGATCGACTGGCAGTTAACCTCGATGTGACTCCTCACGTACATCCTCAGGCAGCAGAGGAGCATGTGCAAAACCAAAAGCTAGAATCAGAGTTTAGGACATTTCAAACACAAGAAGACACAAACACTTCAGCTCACTCAGCCAGACTTGAAGGCTTTCCACGTCATAGGACACACACACACACACACATAAACACACACACACTTCACAGAGCACAGCCAGGACTCCATGACATTATGCAGTCGAGTTGCATTCAGGACCACCCAGAACGAAACAGTGCTGGAGCCTGATATGTCAGCTCAGACTGAGAGTGAAATTATTTTATTTTTGTGTTTCCATTTACCTTAATGTCTCTGAACAGTCAGAAGAATTGTGTTTGTAATCACAGAGAAGACTGGGAGAACTGTGGGCTTTTGATTAAGAGGTACCGTAAAGCTTATCTTGCATGCATGTTGTCCTAATCCTGCCTTCATAACAAAGGAAGCAGGTTCCTCAGCCTCACCGCCTGCTGACTCACAGTCAACAAAAACACACATCGGCAAACACGCTTGATTCATACACAACCCCACAGTGGTGTTTGTGCATGTGTGTGTGTGTGTATGTGTGTGTGTGTGTGTGTGTGTGTGTGTGTGTGACACTAGCAACAGCTACAAACTTAGATGTATTATAACCTCATACAGCAGCTGTGTCTAATCTGTCTTATTCAGACACCCAGCAGACACAGAACACTCATATCATCCGTTTGGACATGTGTTTGCGTCCTGCTTTCGCTTTGGCGTGCTCGCCACAAACTCCTTTAGCAGCTCAATTATCCACTTTCTTCTCCTGCTAGTCTCTGGTTTTGTTTGTCAGCCGCTTGATGCTGGGCAGGTTGTGTACAGGAGGTTTATCTGAGCTTATTTGCTGATTAAATGTGTTCCACCACAAAGGCTTGGAGCTCAAAGACACGAAACAGAGCTGCACAGTTGGTGGGAAATATTCCATGGGTTCAGCAACACAAGGAGCATCCTTAATATGTTGTGCAGCACTTTGATCCAATATAGACAATAAGAATTTGTTCCGCTTTGAAAATGTTTACATTTGTGGAAGGTTTTACTTGTTATATTATTACATCTGATCTTAACTATAAGATAACATAGATAAACGCTACTGATCCCTCACCAGGGAAGTTTACAGTATGGACACATACAACAGAACCATTGCTGAGCTGTAATGTCCAAGCCGGCCGAAATACTTTTATTCAAACAACTTTCAGTCAGATAATAGCAGGTTTTACTTTAATGAGAGGAAAAGCACTCCCTATGTATTATTCCCCATTAACCACTATTTCTGGCAGCATGAGAAACACACTACCTGTGAACAGTCAAACATCTTCACCGTTTTAAACTGGTTCATTACCAGAGACTGCTTGGTGTAAGCGTTTAACATTTACTCCAAACTAACTAACACAATGTCAGAGAAACTGTCTTTCTGGCTACATTTTCTTCAGACAGAGGGCCAAAAAGTTGAGTAAGTTCACAAACAGCAGTTTCTATATCACAGATGAACAACCAACATATAATTTAAAAACAGTAGGCTAACTTGTCTGCTTTATATTACTCAGGAGTTTTTGTTCTGGGCTCAGCAGTTGATACGTTTCTATTTTCAGAATATGGGCAATGCATAATGGTGTGCCCTGAGACTATCGCTACCTTGCAGTATAAAAACAAGCAGATTAAAATGATTTCATATGCTGCAGATACTAGCTTTTTATGTTTACTTCTAAATCATTCAGGCTAATAAGGCTAGCAGGTACAGTGCACTCAGAGCAGGCAATCCAGGAATAACATGCTTTTTGTTTTTCATTAAAGCCCTAAATTGCAGCATTGGAAGGCTGGATAAATAGTCCTAAAAATCCCTGTAATGTTAGTACTAAACAATTACTGTTAGATTAAAAAAAAAAAAAAGATGGGAAGCCCGACTTTACAACAGTTTAACACACTCAGACCTAATCTGACTACCGAGGCTCTGTTGGCTTGAAGACGCTTCGTTTCTATGGGTTCAGTCTTTGGTTTTTCAGTTTAACTCTGCGCCTGCTTTGGTCCTACTCCTGCTTCTTTTGTAAACAGCCTCCGACTAAAGTCAGCACTTTACAATCACAGCTGCTATTTTACTTTAAAGCCAGCGGGCTGGACTACAGAGACTACACAACAAATCAGGTGTCACTATTCATTTCTGCATTTTTAAAGTGGATTAAAGGCAAATGATGCCAACTCTAATCAAGCTCTGAGCCTGAATTCTGGGATACAGAGAGAGAGGGAGCTGCAGCGCTACAGTTTAATGTCTCTATTTCTGACACACACCTACAGTACAGTGTATATATAGCAGCCCTGTAAGCATTTTGTCCTAATCCTGCCTTCATACTGAGGGCAGCAGGTTCCTCAGCTTCACCGCCTGCTGACTCACAGGCAACAACAACACACACCTGCAGGCAACACACACCTGATTCATACATGAGCTCACAGTGGCGTTCGTGCATGTGTGTAAATCAATCCATACACACTGCTTCGTCTTTAGCTGACAGGTTTCTTCCTGGCTCAGAATGCACAGATTGTTCTGAGTACTGTAAAGGCACTGAGTCTGTGTTGCCTTATTTTACAGAAATCCATGCATTTTCTAGTAATTCTGGATCATCTGATGAACAAAAAATTAATTTTATGCCACAGTAATAATTACACTTTTACATTCTGAATTCTTACCATTTTGGCCCTGATGATATTCCTTTGGTTGCTGGCTTTAATCTTATTTGGGGTGTTGGTTAATGGGAGGTGATAGCTTTAATATCCTTAGTTTTGTTCCATAGGGCAGAAAACAGTAACAGTAATAGAAAGAGTAGAATGTCTTTGCAGTGCTGTGCAGCTCGTCCGAAGCCTCCGTTGTTTCTGAACAATGTCAATGATTTGCAAAATGGTTTTTGGTTGTAACAAATATTTGTAATTTATACAAAAGTTAAACTGTCAATAGAAGGTCAAAACAGAGGCTGCATTCCACATTGCAAACTTTTTGTTTTATTTTCAGTACATATTTCAGCTGCCCTGACAAAGAACATAATGTTGAATTCACAGAACTGGGATGTACTACTCTGTCATGATACTGCATCCTGGTCATGAAGCTATCACGGCCTGTAATGTGAAATGCTGTCATCTGTCTGTCCATGATTGGGAAGTCATGATTATGTACACCCCCAAGAAAAGCTGGAACACAGAATTGTGGGTCAGAATGGCCAGAAAAGCGTGCTGGATGTAGTAGGACCTCCTGGTATTTTTGCCAAACAGTATTTGACACACTCAACGTTTTTCTTGCATACCGTACAGTATGTAGGTACTGGAATGCACCCACAGCATCAAGATTCCATTCAAGAAATCAAAACCCCTCACTCACAGTCACAATTGCAAATGATCAAAACTCCAGACTTAATATATCATGTGAGTCACTCCATTTTGACAAACACTGTTGAAGATTAAAGGTCACCAACATGACAGTTTGAAACCTCCCTTTTCATGTTAGGGCTGCTGTGCCCAACTTCTCTCTAGATGCTCACCATCTTTCTGTCTTTACACAAATACTTCTGTCTTTTTGATTAGCATGATGCCATGAATACCTTCTAGGAGAGATTATCTGAAAATGTGAGCACTTATTATCGCCATATTTAAATAAATGCCATGTCTCTCTTCTCTCTGACAGTCAGCTCTTCACTGTGCCGAACAGTGAGCAACTATAGGACTCTGGTCTGGGGTTTTTCTTTTAGCTTTACTCACTATAAATCTAACACATCACCATAAAATGAATCCAGTGTCCAAAGTGTTTTGATTGTTCTGCTGCATTCAGAGACATCAGATAAAAAGGCTGAAGCAGGAACTCACCTGAGTTAGAGTCAGGAAAGGAAAGGTAGCAGATGCTTGTTTTCTGAAAGAAAACAACAAGATTTACTTTATTTTCTGTCCTCAGCTATTCTTTCAGCACAGAGGGCTGTACAACGAAGTGAGATTATTGGGTTAGAGAGTTACATTGGCCCCAAAGTCAGAATTTTTAAGTGTCGCAATAGTGGCTCTCTTTAAACCTGCTAGGTCCCCATGGTCACTGATGCTGCACAGCTAACCTGTTTTGGAGCAGGTTTTGTTCAGAGATTGGTATTTAAATCAGAAGAAGCATCTCACTTTTACCAGTTTTTTTCCAGAATATACTCTCTCTGAGCGATACAGATTTTCAGATAAGAGAATATGTTCTATCTGCAAACCTGTTGATCTATATGTTAGTAATCCCATTGAACAAAGTCATGCAGTTACAGCAAACTGAATGCGTCTTGTTGCCACAGGAACGTACATGTATTCAGGCAGTGTTGGGGGAAATGCTTAAATATGTTGTTATGCTTGGCCCTGAATTGCTGCCAAGTCTATTCTGCACAGTTGTAGCTAATGCATATTAGAAAAGTCATTAGTCTTCTGGTATTTATCACAGAGAATATTTAGTCAGTAACATGATTTTCATTTTGATTTGGCCAAAAACAAAAGTGATTTCCATGTATCCTTTATTAAGGATATAATATTAAGGATATATTATTAAATGCATTTGTTGAGAATCATATTTAATAGTTATGCTAATAGTTTAAAGTTCAAGAGCTCTAGTGTTCTCTCCATCATAACAACCTGCTTCTCTTTTCTGAGGCACATAGTGCTCAGAGTTTCACGAAGAAAAACTGGGTTACAGAGAAAGTTCTAACTACCGTTGTGATACCCATCATCTCTGACTGAGGTTTTAGGTTTTGTCAAGTCAGCCAATGCAAAGAAAGCCTGGCTATATTGAACTTGCTTCGTAGTACAGCCCTCATGTTGATTCTGTGACCCACATACCCGACAGAGAAACAACAATCCAATCCCACCCAGACATTTGAACTCACCTCTTTCTCTGACAGTTTGGAATGATGAGGATAAATGACCTGCAAGACAAATGAACAGAGCAGAAGCTCATCAACCTACACGTAAAAGCTCTGTTCAGCTTCTAGTGCATAAAACAAAACAAAAAAAATTAGCCCTTTATCTCACCAGGATTTATAACTTGAATATTTTTGACAACAGTTACTGATTTCTCCAGCATCACTCCATTATGTTCTACCTCTCATTTTGCTGCACTTGATTATGTTTACAGCTGGAAGTCAACACATGTGAAAATTGTACATGATATGATGAGCTATTTTAACTGACTGATGGATGATAAATTGCAGGATTTAATAAATAAAAATGACAAAATATCTATGGTTGGGTATCGACTGAAACAATATCAACATTCTCAGGTGCTATGAGGTCAAAGATCTGATGAGATTTGTATTCTTAACCTTTATAAATTAAATTATTATGTTTATTAAGTCTTTGCTTGTGTGAATACAAAGCTAAACATTTGAGAAGTGTGTCTTCTTTGGTAAATGAAGAAAGCTAATTTGTTTGAATATATAAATATATATTGCAAAGCAAAGAAAAAAAAGAAAGCCAAAATTATTTTAAGAGCACCAAGTTCTCAGCACAGCTAATTGCAAGAATGTCAAAAAGCACAAATACATAATGTTGTATCTTTTCCTTTTGTCGATGGTAATACAATGTAATCTGCATTATTACATCAAGACTGATGAACTTCCAAAAATACTGTATCCTGCCAGTAAATCAGAATGACAAACTGGTCTGATTAAAAAATAAAATAAAATAAAATAAAAAAATCAAACCAAGAGCTGCAGTATTTCTCAGTTCATTTGAGAATGTAAAACAGAAAGACGTGCAGAAGTCTGAACCCACATCCCTGGATTAACTCTTCTTCGTCTGAAATATCCCAAACTTGTGTGAGAACAACAGGTGTTTGTGATGTTAACCTGGTCACTCCGACGGGATTCAGATACCACCTGAGGGAGGTGCCTCGCTAAAACTCCTCAGATTAAGTGTAATAACAATAAATAAATGTGTTTGACGGAGGATGAGCTTCTGCAAACTCCTTGGTGTGACATTCTAGCCAAAGCAGTGCTGTGGCTGCTGGAGCAGACTAACTTCAGGGTAAAACATTCAGACACTTCACTGTGGCCGAGATAAACAACACTGGGTAATGAAGGTGGTGTTCTGAATGAATTTTTAAAAAGTCAGCCTTTTTTGTTGCACTTCTGTGTGAACATGTCATCAGTGTTAAATAAAAAACAAATAAACTCTACGCAAATAAGAGAGGTTTGTGCATTCCCGTCCAGGAAATAGTCAGAGCCTGGCATAACTGCTAACTTAGACATTAGTAGCCTCCGTGAGTTTTACATGACCAGGCTGTGCCTGCTTGATCCTTCTGTCTTACCTCCACCGCCTGTCCCAGCTCCAGATCGAAGCCGACCACGCAGATGCAGTGTAGCCAGGCGGAGAAGCGGTCCCACGGCAGAAGGACAGTCTCCTCCGGCTCCTCGTCGCCACCGGGCCCGGGGGGCAGCGTTATCTCTTCGGCCGGGGAGATGCTACTAGCGTCCTGGTCGTCCAGATCCTCTGGCTCTTCGACCTGCTCCCCTAGCTCCTCCGGGCCTTGCAGAGCCATGGCTACGGCCCAACACGGACACACAGATGCTTTTGGAGGATGTCAACGGTTTTTCTGAATAAGTTTGCTGGTATTTCTAGCCGGTGTCCCCGGAGGGAACAACAACAGCAGGCAGGCAGGGGTGCGGAGAGTAGCCACTTAGCTAGCACTTAGCATTTCAGAAGGGGCGTACGTACGTCGTGTTGATAAAACGTCATCACGTCTGTACGTCTCTGACGTTGGAGTTGCGTTCAAGTGACGAACCAGTTCCGGACTACAACTGTGGAGGGAAAAATTGTATAATAAAAACAAAAATCCTCATTTTAAATCAAAATATTTTTTTTTGTTTGTCTGTTTGTTTGTTTTTACTTTTACTATCAAAATTATGAGTCAAAAAAAACCCTGTAAAAGCCACAATTAAGCCCCAAATAGTTGTTACTGGATGTATCTCCATTTCTATAGTTGCAGGTGTTGAGCTTCATTGTGGTTGTGTGGGGAGACTTTAATCCGTGGTGGCTGTCCGCTTTGATAAATCTAAACTGTGACATTGTTAAACTGAAGTCTGATTTTCTTAATCAAAAGACTGAGGTGCCACAATATATATAGCCACAATTTTCGGATGGAAAGTCAAAATCAGACATTCTTGCACTACAAGAATTCTGAGCAATGACTCCCTGGTTCAGGTTCTAACTAACTGGACTATGTGGTGCGTGTCAGGCTCCTCGTCGCTTTCTACACATTTCTTCACTTTTCCACTGTCTGTTTTATTTAAAGACACAAAAATGCTCCTTAGCTTATCTAAAACAAATAGATGCCATTCTCAAATCAAATTACTGTATTTATTGTAAACTTTTTTTTTCTCTCTAACCGTTGTAGCTTAAATAACAGTGATATTTAAAGTTATTCTGTTGTGGCAGCGACTTTGGTCCAGTCTGCTTGATCTGAATTTGTTCCTCTCACATCCACAAATATAATTCACACCACTTAAGGAATAACTTCTTTAATTACAGCCGGACTCTCAGTCTGAGTTCAGAGTAAGGCCGTAAATCAGCTTTATCCAAATCCTTTAATAGCTTTATCACTGAACAAACAGATGGATGAAACAAAGTGGGGATGCTAGCAGGGTACAAGAACAGCCCCTGTTAGCACAAGTTGTGACACAAATCCTCCTTAATATGGGTAAGTAGATATAAATCAATCAGATTTACTTTTATGAGTGGAAAGGGTGTTTGCAGAATGACCAGCACTCTATAACACGACACTAATGGAAATGTAATGCTAACTAATACTTAACAAATTCGGTATTTTGGTTTTTATATGTAGACAATATTTAAATTTATATTTATATTTATATTGTTTATTGTGCAAATTACAAAAAAAAAGTGAACAAACAGTTTTCATACATATATAATTCATGCAGAAGACAACATACTGAACAACTAAATAGAAAAACGATCTGACCCCAAGATCTGTACAATAACTGTTCTGGATGTTTCATCAAAATCAGGTTGCAAATAGGAAAATAACTAAATACAATGTTCGATATAGTACAACTGCCAATTGCAAATGTAAATACAAATAATATGTACAATATCCCAACTGCTAAAATAATGATAATAATAATTATAATAAAAGTGATAACACGTAAAAGGATAAAGTGGTGTCTAGAAAATGGGTCAATGGATAACACTTAAACGTACAAGATCAACAAACTGAGCAACATAAAACAAACCACAACCTTTGTTAAAAGACTGAACAACGTTTTAATTAAAATACATGTTAATCTTTAAGGGCTTTGTCACCAACACACAGCCTATGTAACTGATGTCAAACTGGGCTAAGAAGCTAAACACAGTAAGATGCTGTTAAATCTCAAATAATAGTCCGACTGTTAGTGCAGTGACAGCTGGTCCTCTGCTCACCCTGCAGGAGGGCTGCAGCAACGAGGACCGGGGTCTGTACACCATGACCAAGACCTGGACCAGGAGCAGGTTACAGGACAACTGCAAAATCTCAGAAAGTGAACCAACCATGTAGGACCAGAACTTAACTAATTTTAGGTTGGATTTTATTCAGCTGAAATTCTTATGTTTTCTTTTTGTGGCCTATTTTGGAGAACTCTAATTCACTCCACTGCACATGCGTCTATAGTGCCAGGCTCCATTTTAAAATATGAGTCATGTAAGATTAGATGTTATTTACATATTCACAACCCTGTACATACATCTATTGAATCAGACTTTATTTAAAAATAAATAAATAAATACAAATTTTGATTTGTTTTTATTCAGCTAAAATTGGACATCAGGTTATTCTGCCAGACACTGTTTTGGCAAACACAAATTCATGCCACCACACATACATCTATAGTACCAGATTTCATCAAAACCTTGCCTAATTTTTACTGTGTGTTATGGTCAAACTGTTTTAGGCCAGAAGCCATTTTGAAAAACATAAATTAATGTCACTACACATACATCTATCGTACCAGACTTCATTCAAAATTTATCTTATTTCAGACTAGACTTTTTTCAGGCTATCCTTATCGAGCTTATTTTAGAAAACAGAATTTACCCCGCTGCCCTTGTAGCTATAGCACCAGGTTTAATTCAAAATTTTGCTAATTCCCAGTTAGGTTTTATTCAGGGCTTTCTGTTCAGGCTTGTTTTGGAAAACACAAGTTCACGCCACTGCACAGACATTCATAGTGCCAGACGTCATTCAAAATGTAGCTTATTTTGGATTTTTTTTTTAAAAATTCAGGTTTTTCTGTAAGTGGATATTTTAAAACTAATTCACAACTCTGCACATACAACTGTACATTGTGACACTTTGTGTTAGTCCCTCATCCTGGTACATTTTGAGCAGACTAATAATCAGTCTGATCCTGAAGTGAGCTCTGCATCAATCCTCAAGACCTGCCAAGACCTCCAACAGGCTGCTCGTATGTGCAACCCTGGAAACGTGCAATTTGTTGGCATGTAGGTTAACATTAATCTATAGCAAACAGCAGTGACACAAGGTTGTGAACAATGCACAATAGTTGAGCCCAGAAAAAGAAACACAGTGAACAAAAAAGTGTTTAAAGGAATACTTTATTTCCTTTTTGCTGAGATTTTCTTCAACACTGTCTGGTATGAAGCTACAACCACGATCTGGTGAAGTTTTGTTCCTGCTGAACAGAGCTGTTTCTTCTGTGTCAGACTTTATGCTAAGCTAAACTAACCACCTCTTGGCTCCAGCATCATGTTTAAATATGACTTTTATTTAACTCTCAACAAAAAGGGGACGCACATTTTTTTGTAAATGAACATAATATTCCTTTAAATGTTTACACATTTCAAAGTGACTGAAGTAAACACTGTTAGTAAATACAAACTACACATACTGTCTAGCTTTATGATAATTACAAACTTTACATATGAGTTATTCCATCACCTTTTTTTTTATAATAAACAATGATATTTAAAATGATATCTATGAAATTATAGCTTAATATTTAAAATACTTTCCAAGATAACATTTTTTTTAAAAACTGCTCACCTACCTACTTTCATCACATTTTTTGTACGCTGACATTTGAGGCTGTTTGAACAACAATATCTCAAGACAAGAGCCTGAAAATGTCACTGTTATTTCTTACTATAGTAAAGTCTGCAACACTTCACAAGTAGATCATATAGTCTCTGACTATGAGTAAGTTAAATTATTTTTTTTAAAAAACAAAAAAAACAAAGTCCTATCTTTGAGGAAATATTAATAAAAAAAATGATTGAAGCAGAAGTCAACTAATGATATTTTCTGAACCATATGTAGCTGCATGTCGCAATAATACAAAACCAAACATACAGAATACTTCTCAATACAAAATTATTGGTCACACAAATGAAAAAAAGGTTTGGTTCTTGGAAATGTTATAAATAATTTGAGTGAGCAATTAAAAAAAAAAAAAAAAAGAAACTTAGACAATATTTGATAGATCAAAGCTAAAATTCCCCCAGTATGTTTGCAGATAGCCATTTATTATGCAACTAAAAAATAAATAAATAAATCAGGTAAATCAGAGATAGTTGAGTAGAAATTGTTCTAAAAATTAGATTATTTGAGATGGAATGTCGCGTTTTCAATTCTTCTTTAAAATGATACTGGGTTAACTCACTGCTTACCTGCAGCATGAAGTGCAGGAAGCCTTGAAATTTAATGCAAACAATTCCTTCTGTTTCTGTGTCCCGCCACTGATACCACATTATAGAACAAAACTCTGCTGCAAAAAGTAGTCTTGTCACAGTGCTAAGAAAAAGGCAGGAAATACAGCAGCAGTCTGTCAATGGTTCATCCTAAAGCAGGATAATGAACAAAACAATGAAGGAAAAGCACCAGAAGCTTTAAACGATGTAGAACCAGCACAGCTTCCAGAATTTAACCTGCTGGTTTGAACTGAAGCGCATTAGTTGGAACTTCTGCAGCAGCGATTAGACAAACTTTTCAAACAACGTTTCATTTCCACTGTAAAAAACAAACAAACAAACAAAAAAAAGCCTTTAATTTGACTGCTGAGTGATGCAAAAAGAATAGATTACATTTAAGATTTAGGATTCCCTGATCTGATCCGTTTAAATAGTTCTTATTAATATCATCATTTTTGCTTTCTCTTCTAATGAAAGTTTTACTAAAATGTCTGCTCATTGTCTGCAGTCTTGCATAAGTAGTTGATCTCTTTAATTCAGAAACTAACCACAGTTTTTTTTTTTTTTTTTGCCTTCATTTGATAGAGCAGTGACAGAGAGAGACAGGAAAGTGGTGGAGAAGGACCTGCGGAAAAGGGCCATGAGCGGGATTCGAACTCATGACCTCCACATTGGGGACTATAGCCCCTGTACATGGGACGCCAGCTCAACCAGGTGAGTTATAGCGGTGCCCAACTAGCCACAGTTTTAAAGCAGAACATGTGCAGATCTTTGCGTAAACACCACAACAAATAGTATTTTTTTTATTCTTTAGGCAATATAGTTCTTTGACAATGACTTTGTCTATTTATTTGTTGATTTATGGTTCATTTCATAGGGACAGATACAATATTCATAGTTAAACAGAAAATAGCTCTCCAGTGCATGTGTCACAGTGTTTATAGCTAATTTGCGGCCTCTCAAAGGACTTTAGTATGGCTTAAACT